AAATTTTATTAACAGCTTAATAAAACAATAATAGAATTTTATTATGAGCATAATAAAATTTTATTAACAGCATAATAAAATTTTATTGTCGGTGAGGTTACATTATTTTTATTATTGTGCGGGGATTGCACAAATAAAAAGAGGCTATGCCCCTTAAGTAGATTATGTCTATTAGATAGGAAAAATGAGGTGGCACGCGCATTCACATTGGGCATAAGTGTTGAGTTTAGTCAAACGGGACTGATCAGACCTGGAATCAGGCGCTCTCCAGTAAGTGGGTGATTCCCGTAAACATAGAATCTATGCCGTCTTACTTTACGAATTTATGTATACAGGAATAAGTATGTATGCACATATAATCAAAAATCGTAGATTATGGCACGCTAAATGTGCCTGATTTTGGAATATGGAATTTTGCTTGAAATTAACAGAAAATAACTGCATTCTTGCCAAATATTGAGAACACATGGTGCCAGCAAGCGCGCCAAAACAAATCCTGAACGCCAGGTGAGCCACGACCCACAGTTCACTATACAAAACCTGAAGTAACACAGGAATTCTTATTAACTAGCTAGCATCCTCAACGAAAGGACATCAACGCCATGGAAGAACCCTGATGGAATCATGTCAACAGGAATTAAAAGTTGAGAACCCTGAGAACCCCCCCTTCCCCGGGGGAGGAACTGCTTGGAATGCAGCAAAAAAACGTGTAGTGCGAGGCATCGATTCCAGACACAAAAAGAGCAACGTTGATTCCACAACATCAATCCGCAAAAAGAACAACATCAATTCACCAAGCAAGCACCATCAATTCTGAAAGATGGCTTTAACAAGACAGGGACAGCAGCAAGCTCCTCCTGCTCCACCAGCAGGAGGAGGCCAAAGAACTGGAACAAGCAACTATGGCACTCAGGAAACCATTGACTTGATGTATGCCATCTTGGCAAGGCTTCCCATTGGGAGTGATCAGTGGCATGAAGTAGAAGTGACTCAAGCTGAGCACTATCCTGATACCCATAGGGATGTCTGCTCTATCAGTAGGAAGTATTCAACCCTTCATCGGAAGACCATCCCTACTGGAAATCCAAACTGTCCTTTGGCAGTGAGACTTGCCAAGAAGGCCAAGTACTTGATTGGTGTTAAGGCAGATATTGGAGATGGAGAAGAGCACTTTGATATCGAGGAAGGATACCTACATCCTCAAGGTCACAATGGAGATCCTGATGGCAACGAGAACGCGTCTCCTGGTCCCCCCTCTCCACCATGCCAACAACCTTCCTCGCAAGAAACAGAAGTTTAGGAAGAACAACAACAAGAAGAAGAACTTGCTTGGCAGGAAGTGAACCACAATGGCACCACAGCTGTTGCAGTTGCAGTTGCCAACACAACGGTAACAGCAAGAGCTGCTACACCCAGCAGACGCTCTTCCATCCCCCGCTCTTACAAAACTGCCAATGCAAAGCAGCAAGGCATTGTAAAGGCATTGGAGGCCTGTGTTGAACAGCGCGAGAGAGCTTCTGTGAGAGCCAGGGAAGAAAGGAAGGAGGCCTATCAGGCAATTGGGAAYGCTCTTGGATCCCTTGTCACCATTGCCATGCAGCACTTCAGTCCAAAGGCTGGTTGGAAGAAGGCTGGTCAGAAGAGGAAGAATTGTTGCTCCAGAAGCAACAGCAGCGATGATTCCGAGGATTCCGATTCCGATTAGGGCATGAATCCCATTGTCGATTGTCGTGTTTATAATTATTTACTACATTTAATTCATCTTATTAACTACTTGAATTCCCATCTTCCATTTGGTTTATACTGACTGCTGCGTTATGAAAAAAATAAGCGGATTAGAATAACTTCACTTGTGCGTGTTAGCTCGTGTTGTTCAGTACAGTTTCTACACAGTCTTCCATACATTTTGAAAATTTTACTCAATGGACGCCTAAGGACCAACATGCATTGCTATTACTATGTCCCGCCAAATCTTGTGATAGTTTGATTATATCACATCATGAATATTTCTTATTTATTTTATTCATTATATACAAAATGTAGATTTCTTATTGATTCTATTCCCACCTTGTTATAAGGGAATCTTTGTGATTCAACACTTCAACGCTTCAACGGATCATGAAAATTTCAAATAACACAAAGTATCGTGTACAAAATCCAACTTAACACAGTGTAACACGTAGTAGTAGCTTTGCATTCACTTGTTGACTGCTGCTCGTAGCTCAGCTCACTTCTTCCATGATACTACTGTTTGTTGCTCGAGCCTCCAGTATGAATTACAGTAGTTTAAACTTGTTTAGTGGTTCTGATCAAATGGTACGTTGACCATGGGAATGTATCGTTGTTTTGTATGCGTTGTTCTTGTTGCGTGTCGGTGTTCTTGTGTATTGTATCGTTGTTGCGGCCGTATTGGTTTCTTTTTCTTGCTTATCGTTGTTGCCGTTGCTGTGCGTTTTCTTGTTGCGTATCGTTGTTGCGTATCAGTTTGTTTCTTGTGTATTCTTGGTTCTTGCTGGGATATATCAATGTATCGTTGTTGCGGCTATCTAACCAAAACAAGTTGTTTGCATCCTCATCGATTGTCACAGTAGTATGGGAGAAGAATCCCTTCTTCTGTTCTTCATTGGGCATGAACACGTTAAGGATCTGATTGATGCCTACAGTGCTGGCTTGATAATTGTACAACAAGATKGCTGTGTGCAGGAGAATCTTCCTTTCACCTTGCTCCTCAAGCCTGATCCTGTCCTTCAGCCTTGGAAACTGGCCTTGGATCATCCTCACCCCCCACTCAGACAGCTGTCTGAGTGACATGGCTTGTCAGTTTAGAGCTAGAGCATGCTTGGCAGCAGCGTTGTTGCTGGCGCTGCTGCCTACATTGTTGTTGATGGTGGCAAGGAGATCTGGATCCTTTTGGTAAGTTCTAAGAAGGTATTGCTTGTCAGTCAAATTGAAGGCCGAGTTGACAACAACCTTTGCTTCATACAACTCATACATCTCCTCCATCCTCCTGTAAATTCCATAGTCTGCTGTGGTGCTATCATGCCATGATCCTTGACAGTTGAAGATGGTTCCTCTAATTTTGCCATCTGGAGCAAAGATGAAGACACTACCAACATACGTATCACATGTCCATCCATTGTAAAACATGTTCTGTACTG